GTACAGTATCACACGATCGTTTGCTTTGTTTTTTCTTTTCTGAGAGCCTGTGTACGAAGTTTTTGGAATTCAGTCTGGAAGTTTTCGCTACTGAGTTTATAGATCTGCAGAGTATTGCTCCCAGAGAGGATAAATAAGTGTCTGGATATCTGAGTCTCCCTGACTTGCAATATATTACATCAACAAGCTGAGAGAGGAATAATTTGAAAAGCTGGTCACTGCTGAGTCTGCCTGTAGAGTATTGCTCCCAGAGCAAACAAGTGCAATTGCTGGTTTATAATTTTACTGGCAATTTGCTCTGGTGAGTTTTTTCATTTCTGTTGGTGGTGGAGTTGCACACATCTGTTCTTATGGTGATGGACATTCTTCACTGTTGATGGAAAGAGAAAATTCTTAAAAGACATTTTTTTGGTCATTTAAATTAATTTTTTCACTGTTTTATTTATCACTGTTTGATTTGGATATTTAATATGATAGCGCTACCTTTTTTTGTTTTAAAAATGACAATAATAACAGTAAAAAGAAATGAATGTGCATTTGAATGAATTAATAGAATAGCAGACATACAATGTAGTTACAGTGTAGAGCTGACACAATGCATTATTCCACAGATAACCACTATCAGATGAGGAAAATGTAGCTGAGTGAAACGGCGCAGCATTCCCATGAAAAGCTGAGATTCTCTTGTAATAAGGCCAGAAATGAAAGCAAGTCAGGGAAGTCAAACAGAATGTACAAGCGTATTATTTATAGTGAAGTTTCTGGCAAAAGGTCACACAAGTGAATAAGGGGTATAAATCTGAGAAAAAGTCCCATGCTCATTATATTCGTGAAAGATTCCAGTGGGGAGACTGAATGCAAAGGTCAGAGGAAAAAAATCTGCTTTATGGTAAAACAAACATTTTAGGAGTTTCAAAACACATATCAGTTTTTACATATCTATATGCTGTCCAAGAGGTGCAGCAAACTGCAAACTTGTCTCTGAATAAGTACAACGTTGTTGAATAAAATCCATTTTTTGGAATACCCTGGTAAAAAAGATGGATGCTTGTATGCATTAGATATCATTCTATATCATTCATTTACGCCTTCAGATGTTAAGTGTTCGAACGTACTTTAATTTGAAATGCCACACAATACAATATACTATTTGGGTAAACATTTGTGGAGATCTGACCATCACACCTATATGAGCTCACTGGCCATCCCATTCTATGGATATTTTCTATGGATTCTCCCCCCCACCCTCAACACCACCACCAACACCAGCCTCCACATTTCTGGAAAGGATTTCCACATGATTATGCAGTGTCTTTGTGAGATTTGTGATTATTCAGCTAAAAGAGCTTATGTGAGTTCAGGTACTGATGTTGGATGGAAGACCTGGCTCCAATTTATGTGTTCAGTAGGGTTGAGGTCATAGCTCTGTGCAGGCCTCTCAAGTTCCCCCATACCTAATTCCTCAAACCAAGTCTTTATCAACCTGGCTTTATTCACAGGAGCAAAATCATAATCATACTGGAATAATGTTGCCACAAGGTCAGAAGTGCACCTTTTTCTAAAATGTGTTTGTATGCTGTAGAATTAACCCTTTACTGGAAACATCACCATAGTTTTAGTTGCACCCGACCCAGGTCTTTGAGTCTGATGAGGGAAATCGATGTAAAAGGACACTCTGATGGGAAAGGTATGTCAGGGGGCACTTTGGGAACATTTGATGTAAGGGGAAACTCTGATGGGGACAGTTGGTGTAAGGGGCACTCTTAGGAAGGCACTTGATGTAAGAGGGCACTCTGATGTGGACAGTTTATGTAATGGGGCTCCCTCATGGTGACAGGTGATGTAAGGGGGGCACTCTAATGGGGACTCTGATGTGATGGGGGACTGTGATGGGGACCCTGATGTAAAGGACGACTCTGATTAAGACTTCTTATGTAAGGGGGCTTTGATAGGAACACCTGATATAAGGGTGCACAGGTTCTGTTTAATCAACCTACCTAATGACAAGATAAATCATACTAGCATTTCCTATTCACTCCTGCACCACCTCTGCACTACCTGTCAGATATTCCTTCCAGGTTATGATACAGAAGCACTCCGAGTGAACAGGGAATACAGTTTCTTGCATCTCTGTCACACTGGGTGACAGTCTGTCAGTGACTCACACACAGGGTTGACACTATATCCCCTGGATTTTCTTACTACACTAACCCAATCAGATCGGCCAGATCCTCCCTTGAAGGGTGCCAGTGTAGTTTTGACAATACGGTATACAAAATGCTTAGAATTTGATATATTGATGACAGGGTTTCCTGTTTTTAATATGAATTTAAATCAGAACTACACTGCATCTGTGCACCACAATCCAAAAACTCTATTCCTTTTTTGTTACTATTCAGTGCAATCCCACCCATTCATCCATGTCTCCATGTTTTATTCTGTTGAGAAATCACTTTGAAAAACACCTCCTAGCATTTCTGGCCATGGCCATCTTGAGTAAGGACAGTTGAGTCATGTAGCATTTACTTCCTGTAATTCATCTACCCTTAGCTCAGGCGTGCAGGCAGGAGGGTGAGAAAACCCCTCCTCCCCTCCTGAAAAGTCCTGGGATGTATAACAACATTTACCTAGGCCTGAAAACCAAGATGTACCTGAAGAAATGTAAAAAAACAAAGTTTAAAATAAGTAAATACGATATACCTTCCTATCTATACTAATGCCAGCAATACAAGGATTAAAAATAGTCAATGTTGATTGAAAGTGTGAAGTTCTGCTTTAAAGTACAACTTATAAAAGGTTCCATAGTGCTGTGCACAAATCATATACCAATTTAGGCAGAAATGTAAAAATGATTGTGCATCATCTTAAAGTCACTGAGGCTGGGGCACAATAAATTCACATCAATGGCTCCCCAATCTAACCCTCCCCAAGGAGACAGGCACTATGGTGATTTTGAAATAGCAGCCCCTAAAACAGAACCTATCTAGAAGCAAAGTGTATCTGACTACCTTAAACTGTTACTAAGCCCACAACAGTAAATCAGTCTGTATATGCAGTAAAGCATGCTTGATATGTTTGTAACCTAAAGGGTTAAACCTCCGCATTGTGTAAAAAGGATGTTTGATCCAGTCTTCTCTGATCCTTCCCTTCTTTTACTGTCACCAATCTATCTGCTGATAGAACAGAGCCTTGGGGGCAAGCTGCAAATGCTCAGTTTGATGTGTATTGCTAGACAGTTTTTTTTTCTTGGGAGAGTGCATGTGATCAGCACAGGGCCAATCAGCACTGTCCAGACAGAGGGTTAGGGGTCCTGCAGCCTCATAAGACAATCAAGGGAGAATGAAAACTCCTCCTACAAGCTTTAACCGGTACTCTGCTGGACACTGATAGAAATCATAAGACTGCTCTGACTGCTGATGAGAAAAGTTATTTAGCAGTTTATATTTACTAAAATATTTGCATTTCCATGTTCTATGTACTGTGGGAGACCAGATATAGTGAATGCAGGGTCCTGGGTTTAGTAACACTTTAATCCTTTCCACCTTCAGATCCTCCTGCTGATTCTTGAATGGCTCTGTGTTCCACAATATGTTCATGCCAGCAACTTACTTTCCTAGTGTGGGTTGATATATGCACTAGATATTAATATGATGAAGCTGGACATTGGGGATAAACCAAATATACCTGGATTCAGTTAATGAGACGTTCATTGAACAACCCACAAATTCTGAACCTCATTGAAGTCAGCAGGATCCAAAACAAATCTAACCATTTTCAAGGCTAATAGGCAAAGGATTACAAAACAAATGGCATGGAACGTAGAGCACTGCTAGGGGGAACCATTGCAAATAAAATATTAAAAAAAAAAGACTGCACACAGCAGAGGCACCAGGGTCTTCCTTTTAATGCGACTTCCAAGGAGACATGGGACAAACATGAGGATATTACAGTTACATGCTTGGGAGATGCCTTTAAGCTGTGTGTGGTGTTACAGAACAGTACGATTCTCATGTAGAGTGACAGCAACACTGTATTCTGGCATCATATATTTCAGATGTGTAATTGTTTTTTCTTTTCACTTTTACATTATAGCTTGGCTTAAATATAGATGAAGCCTAACTTGATTCATTACAACTTGAAAAAAAGGCTTTTTAAGCAGTTTAAACAGGAAACCTAATTTGTTACTGAGCAGTAATAGTTCTGAATTGAATGCTGGAAGTACAACCTACAAAGAATATAAAAGCTATAAAAAAGTGTACTTTTAAAAAGATAAAAAAAAGCTAGATCCCACAATTTTGCACCATTTGGTAAGTGGCAAAACAGTTTCAGCATAGTTTGTGAGCTTCTTTTTTATGCAGTACCACACTGTATTGTCTTAAAAGTTTAATAAAATGTCAAAGCAGAGTGCACAAAACTCTTAATTTTTTCCCAAAATATAGACTTCAGATATGTATTTGGTAGAAATTGGCTGGCATTAGGGCAGTACAGGAGAATAGACAGCAGAGAGATAAGGTAGGTTTTGTCTTGCAAAAAAAGTGTGCATTATCTGAGAGAAAATAGCCAAAAATACACTATATTGTCAAAAGTACTGTGATGCCTGCCTTTACACACACATGAACTTTAATGCCATCCCAGTCTTAGTCTGTAAGGTTTAATATTGAGTTGGCCCACCCTTTGCAGCTATAACAGCTTCAACACTTCTGGGAAAGCTGTCCACAAAGGTTTAGGAGTGTGTCTATGGGAATGTTTGACCATTCTTCCAGAAGCCCATTTGTGAGGTCTGGCACTGATGTCGAACGAGAAGGCCTGGCTTGCAGTCTCCACTGGAATTCATCCCAAAGGTGTTTTATTGAGTTGAGATCAAGAATCTGTGTAGGCCAGTAAAGGTCATCCACCCCAAACTCGCTCACCCATGTCTTCATGGACCTTGCTTTGTGCACTGGTGTTGTCATGTTGGAACAGGAAGGGACACCTCCAAACCGTTCCCACAAAGTTGGGAGCATGAAATTGTCTAAAATGTCTTGGTATGCTGATGCCTTACGAGTTTCCTTCACTGGAACTAAGGTGCCAGCCCAAACCCTGATAAACAACCCCACACCATAATCCACCATCCACCACACTTTACACTTGGAACAATGCAGTCAGGCATGTACCGTTCTCCTGGCAACTGCCAAACCCAGAAACGTCCATTGGATTGCCAGACAGAGAAGTGTGATTCATCACTCCAGGGAACCCGTCTCCGCTGCTCTAGAGTCCAGTGGCGGCGTGCTTTACACCACTGCATCCGATCCTTTGCATTGCACTTGGTGATGTAAGGCTTAGATGCAGCTGCTCGGCCATGAAAACCCATTCCATGAAGCTCTCTATGCACTGTTGTTGTGCTAATCTGAAGGTCACACAAAGTTTGGAGGACTTTAGCTATTGACTCTGCAGACATTTGGCAACTTTTGTGCACTGTGCACTTCTGCATGTGCTGACCCCGCTCTGTCATTTTATGTGGCCTACCACTTCGTGGCTGAGTTGCTGTTGTTCCCAGTTGTTTCCACTTTGTTACAAAACCACTAACAGTTGACCGTGGAATATTTAGTAGCAAGGAAATTTCACAGATGGACTTGAAATTGCACAGGTAGCAACCTATCACAGTACCACGCTTGAGTTCACTGAGCTCCTGAGAGTGACCCATTCTTTCACAAATGTTTGTAGAAGCAGTCTGCATGCCTAGATGCTTGATTTTATACATCTGTGGCCATGAAGGTGATTGAAATACCTGAATCCAGTGATTTGGAGGGGTGTCCCAATACTTTTGGCAATATAGTGTATTATACAGTTACTGGACAGTATGTAAGCAGCTTGATTAGGCTGCAGTGTGAGATATGGTGGGTTTTATCTTTAAATAACCATTCAAGTGTATTATCTCAGTAACATTAGTCACATTGTACAGTGACTGCAAAGCATGTAAGCAGCTTGGTTAGGCTGCAATAACAGGGAAAGACAAGGCAAGGCATGTTTTAACTTTAATAAACATTAAAGTAGGCAGCACAGTGGCTAAATGGTTAGCACTTCTGCCTGTCAGTGCTAGGGTCGTGGGTTTGAATCCCAACCACGGCACCACCTCCCTAGAGTTTGCATGTTCCCCCTGTGCCTGCATGGGTTTCCTCCCCCACTCCAAAGAAATCCTAGTAGATTAACTGGATCCTGTCTAAATTGGCCCTAGTATGTGTATGTGTATGTATGAATGTAAATTAGATTGTATGCCTCTTGAGGATTAGGGACTGATGTGAATGTACAATATATATGTAAAGCACTGCATAAACAGGACAGTGCTACATAAGTACCCAAAATAAATAAATATTAGCTAAGAGACAATGGCCACATATATTTCTGAGTGCTGGAGTACAGGAAAAGACCACAAGTGTGGGGACACAAAAGCATGATTTTCCCAGCAGTCAATATTACAAATCTTAAAACTGAGGTCCAGATGCGGAAACATTATATGTGGCATTTTTACAGTGCTAAAACACCAGAATTGGCCCAAACCTCAAAAATGCAGGATTTACACTGCAGAAAAAATTAGAATTTTTGCAGCTGAGGTACATCTCTGCATACATTATAAATAGCACATTTACAGTGCCTGAGCACCACAATAGGCCACAAACATTGAGACTTAATGCAGAATTTACCCTACTGCAAACAATACAAATAGTTGAAGTCCAGCTTTGAGGCACCTTTACAATGCAAGAGCACTGATATAGGCTAACATTTTTGAAGCTTAATGCAGGACTTACTCTGCAGCAAACGGTATACATTTTGTAGCTTAGGTGCCAGCAGTAGAAACAATATATATGGCACCTTTACAGTGCTTGAATACCAATATAGACTAGCAGAGGTGGCAGTAACTGGTGATGGTAGCAGCAAGGAGTGGATGCAGAAGCTAGTTATGGTGGCAGGCCAGCAGAGATGGCAGGAGCTGGTAATGACTGCAGGCTAGCAGACTTGGAAGGATCCAGTAATTGTAGAAGATAACATTGTTTAGGCTGGTTGACAAATAAATGTATTTGGTAGCATCAGCTACAGGGGTTTGTATAAAAATGAGTAAGTCTGTGTTAAAACACAGCCAGAATGGTCTCTCTGTAACAATGCTTTCTGCTGCTCAAAAGGCCCTCTCAGACAGCGCATAGGCTGCAGGCAAGTGAAAAGCAAGCTCCACCACATAATGTACATGGTCTGGCCAGTGGTTCAGCCTGTACACTTGATAGTCCATTGGGTCCTCACTTGTCTGCTGTGATTACAAAACATTTTAAAATCTTTGCCAAAGCAGCTACCAGCACCTCTGCACACCTTTTCAGGGATCTGAGGATCAGAAGTACATTTGATTTGAGGGAAGATCCTGCTGCTATCTCACTATCTGGAAATGCAGCCACGTGGCACATTTTTGCTCTCTCTAGGATGGTATCATCAGATCTGATATTTCGAATCTTGTATTGAGGATCCAAAAGGGGAACCTCCCAATAATGGTCGCTTTCCTTCATGGCCTGAATCCTTGGATCCATGTGCAGGCATTTCAGCCCCATTTTCTCCTCCTCCTCAATGCCAGCATCCCAACCCTCCCAGTCATATTTCTCCTCTGCCTACTACTTGCTGTACCTTACAGAGATGACGACATAAGGCCAAGGATCTAGCTGGCCCCGACAGAGCAGCTCTTACTCCTGCTGCTATGTCTCCATTTCCTTGTCTATCATACCACACAGTGTGTGCTCTCAGAGGAACACCAGAGGGATTGAGTTGTTGTGGCTCATCATTCTTAATAACACTGCAAATGTTCTGAATTAGAAGCCACTGATGTGGTGCAAAAGAAAAAGCTCCAAAGATCCTGTTCAACAGCTGCAACATGATCAACATTGATTTTCAGTGCGTGGGTGTATTGCATATCATTGGCAGACATCTTGTGTAGCCACTGCATTTTGGGCAGACGAACATTTAAAAGGTGTGACTACTTGATCTTCTGGCCTGCCCTAAGACATCCTGGAAGTCATGGTACCTAACCACTGATGACTGCACAACCAGGTTCATGCAAGGTGTGTGCGCACTTTCCCTGATGAAGGACGACAAACAGGTTAGTGACATTGTCAAACACCAGTATACCCAACACAAGATGTCATAGCCTCAGCCACCTCTGAGCCTAGAGATGAGGAGCTACCAGAATTTATGGCGCAGTGTGGTTCCTGTCCCCCAGGAATATCAGATGCAAAACAGTACAGCAGCATTTTGTCTGCATTGTTGAATAGGCTCCTAAGTGCTTTAGGGAAACTGGTGGTTTTCAGTGGTAAGAGGATAAGGCCATTGAGGAGCAGGAGGCCTAGGTGCAGGACACAGGGAGGCACCACCAGTTCTGGTGTTGTACCCCATCCTGCATCCATTCTGACTGCCAAAGATTCAGCCAGTGTGCAATGAAAGAGATGTAGTGTTCCTGCCTATGCTTTCTGGGCTATGTGACTATGGTCATGTTGACCCTGTCACTGACAGAATGGTCTGGCAACATGAACACATTACCTTTCACATTCTGGTGGAGTGCAGGAAAGGGCAAAATAATGACGATTGAGTACCTGCCACTGTTGTGTAGCACAGTCCATAAACTCTGAGGTTGACTCCATGGGCTGGAATGGAAGCAGCTGAAAAGCTAGTAGTTTTGCCAAGCTGGTATAGAGATGCTGGGCATGGAGGTGATTAGGGGATTTTTTTCTGTTCCACTCCAACTGCTGTGGACGAGAAACCTACTGGTCAATAAGCCTCAGGAGATGGCGAGGTAGGGTTGGGAGATGTATGGCAAGGTTCCGTCCCTGTTTGATGTGAGTTAAAACAAGCCACTGAAACTCTGTGTGAGTCCTCCCTACCTATCACTTAAGGCAATCTTGTGGAGAGGAGAGGGGTGAAAAGTGGGGATTTAGGTGGAAGAGTGCATGCATTTTACTGCGGACGAAAATCATTGAAGTGCTGCTTCCACCAATCTTTTTCGTGCAGATTTATGTTCCTCTAATACTGCTGTTTTTTGCCTCTCCCTCACTTTCCTCCTCATCATTACCACTTACCTCATTGCTGAAACCCACTTGGCAATAAGCTGTAGCTGCACACTGCATCATTCTGTTCTTGCCTGAAGCTCCCTCCTTCTATGTTCCTGGCAGTCTCTTTGTCCTCCTTAATTTCCAATATGTGGAATTTTTATGCATTCTTCTGCAAGAAGTGACTGATGGTGTGCTGAAATAATTTTGCTGGCTCGTTTATGCCAGTTTGTGGGGCTAATGGTGAGATTAGAAGAAGAGCGGGAGGAAAAAGATTACACAATTGTAGCAGGTGCAGAAAATTGGCTGCTCTGCACCTGGGAGGAATATGAAGAAGAAGGCTTAGAAAGCCACTCCTCCATGTTCTCTGGCTGTATAGCATGGCCACTGCCAGACAGAATAGGGTACAGTCACTTTGTCCTGTAGGGCCTGCTCACCCCCTACTGCTTTTGTGTGGGGAACCTCTGACTCCCCCTTTAGGCCTGCCTGACATTTTTTTGAATACCAGGAATTGCCTAACTTTAATGTCAGATATGGCAATAGAGGGAATAAGGATATGTCGCTTTGATGTACTAAAGATGTGGTTATTTGGTACAAGAAACTTTACTACATTAGTATAAGGTGATGTGCTGCAAAGGGCAGCTTTGCCTGTGTCAGTAAAAAGCTCATTCTGCTGCCCTTAAATTAATAAATAAAGACCGTATTAAAGTTAAAGCAGAATTCCAACCTACAAAAAACTATGTTTAAAATTGTTCTCTCCCCCGCCTACTACTTCTGCTGCTTAACCGGTGTAAACAAGATGTGTATATTTGCCCATTTCATGCTTACCTATTTTCTGACCACTCCATTCTGGTCACATGATCCTCATCCTCTGTGTCAGTGAGAGAAGGGAACCTTAGACATGGGAGCCTGTGAGTGACAGTTCCTGGAATTCCCAGCCATTGTCGAATGCGCCATCGCTCACTGACACAGAAGATCAAATAAACAGACTAGAGTGGACTATAAACAGGTACACATCCTTTACACAGTTTAGCATAGGTAACAAGAGGGAAACATAGTGTTAGGAAGGATTTGCACTTTAAATTAAAATAAAATATACCATTGCAAAAACAAAAAAAAAACACACCCCATCCCTAATTTTTTTTCAGTTTATTTACCTAGCAGAAAGAAAGAAAAACAAAACAAAACATGAAATTATAGAAAATTAAAAAAACTAAAATGTAAAAAAGCAAAGGGGAGAGGGGTGCAATGGCTAAAAACAGCAACTGAAATTCTTGCTGACATACACAGAAAATTAGACCTAGAAAGGACTGTTGGGTTTCTGCATCATACAGACAGGGGTACATAATAATATGTAGCCCACCACGCTACAAATCACAGAAATGTAGCATAATACAATATTGTGTATCGCACTGTATAGTAGCAACTACATTTAACTGAAGCTCACTGTATCTATTCCAAACTCTGATAAATGGCAGCTGGGAACCTCACCCTTTATAGTGAGGGGTTGACATATTACAAACCCCCATTATTACCAATTCTAAGCTGCCTGACCTACGTTCAAGGGCTGGAAAGTGCATTATTGCTAGTGCATTATTGGTATGGCGGTGATTGGCTGCATTATTCAATGATTCCACAAACTGTGAACAAGTTGGATTCA